CTCTCTCTCTCTCTCTCTCTCTTCCCTCTCCCTCCCTCTCTGTCTCTACTCTTCTCATCTCTGATACATCACAAGGGAGGGGGCTAGTAGAGGGATGGAGGCCTATAACCAACATACAGTAGATAAGCTTAGGAGTTAATGCCGCAGCCTAGGCAGGTGAGATGCTGAGTTGGGAGGTCTACCCTTTCAAGCTGAACTTGGATTTCTGACCTTCAGAAATTGTGTGACATGATAAATGTTGATGATTTTAAACTGTTAAATTTGGGGGCATATTTTTTATTCAGATATCCACCATGTTTTCCTTGCCCTGAAAACCTTCTCTCCCCACAAAGCCAACCCAAATATTTCTTTTTATTAAAGATTTATCTATTTTATGTGCATTGGTGTTTTGCCTGCATGTATGTCTGTCTGTGTGAGGGTGTCAGGTCCCCTGGAACTAATGTTACAGACAGTTGTAAGCTGCCATGTGAATTCTGGAAATTGAACCTGGGTTATCTGGAAGAGCAGCCAGTGCTCTTAACCCCTGAGCCTTTCCAGCTCTATTTCTTTTAAAATAAATAAATAAATATAAAAATTATCTGGGAGTGGTGGCACATGCCTTTTATCCCAGCCCTTGGGAAGCAGAGGCAGAGGCCTCTATGAGTTCCAGGTCAGCCAGGGCTACCCAGTGAGGCCCTGTGGCCAGACAAAAGAAAAAATAAATACATATTTATTTTGAGAAAAGGTCTCACTTTGTAGTCCTGGCCTGAACTCAAACTCCTCCGAATACCCTCCAGATCGATCGCTTCAATTACTAGAATGTTCCACCCATACCTCCTAAAACTCTGCTTCTGTTTTTAAACACACATGTGCAGGGTTTGGTTCTCGCCTCCTACCATGTGAGTTCCAGGGGACCAAATGCAGATCATCGGGTTTGGTGGCAAGCACTTTATCCATGGAGCCATTTCCTTGGCCCCTGAAATGTAAATGACTTGAGCTGCCCGGGTAGGAAAGGTATGGGTTGAGAACCAGGTGTAATCACAGTTCATTCCTGTAATTCTGGAGAGAGAGCAGAAGGGCCAGGAGTGTCAAGGCCAGTCTTGGTACATAGTTCCAAGTCTGGAATACACCAGACCTATCTCAGGCAAAAACGGGGGCTGGAGGGGTAGACCAGTTAAGGGTACTCGCTGCTCTTCTAAAGGATTTGAGTTTGATTCCCAGCATCCACATCAAGGGGCTTATACTCCTGTGACTCTAGCTCCAGAGGATCTGAAGTCTCTGGCCTCTGGGAACATGTGCACACATGTGCACATAATCCACACAAACACACATAATTAAAAATAAAATAACTTTTTTTTGAGACAGGGTCTTTCTAAGTAACTCTGGCTGTCCTGAAACTTGCTGTATAGATCAGGCTGGCCTTGAACTCACAGAGATCTGCCTGCCTCTGCTTCGCTAAGCTAAGGGCCTCTTTTCCTTCTTCCTCCAGGAGGCAGAGGAGGGTGGGCGGCTGGCAGGGGACTTTGTAGGGCACAGGCTGGCCCAAGCTCCTGGGCTTGGCCTCCATGTTAGATGAACTGCTCTGTCTAAGGCTTTCCTCACCAGCTTTGCTTCCCCACATCCGTCTTTACAGTTTATTTGTTTTTTAAATATGGGGTCTTATGTAGCCTAGGATGGCTGCAATTTGCTATATTGAGAAGGAAGACCTTGGACCGCTGATCCTCCTGCCTCCACCTTCTTAGTGCTTGGATTACAAGCACACACCAACACCCCTAGTGTCTGTGGTGCTGGGGAATCTAACCTAGGGCCTTGTGCATGCTAGGCAAGCACTCTTACCAAGCAAATTACATTCTTACCCCTCCTTTTGCGATTTTTACATTTTATTTTAATCACAACTTATGAAAAGTAATAACATCCAATATGTCCCTAGAACCAGGAGCACAGCAAGCAGGCTACATAATTAACCTCTTTTCACAGGTGACAAACCAAGGCACAAGGGTTAAGTCAATTGTCGAAGGTCACAAGAGGCAGAAAGAGGCTAACGAAGCTTGGGCTGCTGGGTCAGTACCTCAATTATACAGGCTCTTCCAAGACTTACTTAATTTCCTATTCGTATTTTGTAATCCTTTCCTTAAAGAGAGCAACAAAATCTGGATGTGGCTGCAGAGGTAACAGATGCCAGTGTGCAGATTTCTTTTAAGTATTTAAAAATACATTTACATATGCAGACGTAACCGCAGGGTTTGGCGGGCACCCAGCTTTTTCAGCATACCGTCCTGACTGCCTTTCTAACTGTGGTGTCGCGTGAAGCAAAGAGAGTACCTTTATTCACCCGCTTTCCCCAAGTTGAGCCTTCTCTCCCCTCCCTCTGTGGTCTGTCCCCTTCCCGAAGGTTCCTACCCATTTCTCACGCTTTCTCTCTTGGCCTTCTTCCTATCCTGGTTTCTTCTCTCGCGCTACCCCTTCCTCTTTATCCTCACTTTTTATTCCCCCTCCTTCCAGCCTCCCGCGTTTCTCCCCTCTCTGACACCACGGTTTCTTCACGGTCCAACCGGTTTCCTCAGCTCACCGCCCCTCCACCGGTTCCCGGCCTTCGGCTTCCCAGCAACGCACAGTCCGGGCATCCTTCCCCCATCCTCCCCCGCTACCACCCCTCCCCGGCCGGGAGGGAGCGCACAGCCGGCGGGCGACGGAGCGAGCTGACAGCGTAATGAATGGCTTCAGCTGTAATTAGCGACCCCGCGGCTAATCACGATGTGCATTTACATTTTAAGTGCTGCAGAGGGAGCAGGAAAGGAAGCGGCGCGCGGGCGGGGAACCCGGCCCTTTCTGCGTTTTCCCTCTACAGACTCCGGAATAAAGTGAATGGGGGAGTCTGTGGCAGAGGGTAGCGGCGGTCCTGGGGGTGGGTGGCGGTGTCCTTGAGTGCCAGCTTGGGAAGAGGCACAACCGCTGCCTCCTCACTGAACAAACCCGTAGCCCCCAGGTCTTCCAAACTACCGAGTCCTGCCCACATCTCCTCCAAGTTGTTTTAGTCCAGGCTGGAAGACCCCCCGGGTCACAAAGCTGGCTTCTTTTCCAACCAGCCCTTTCCTACATAGCTTCTAGTCTTCCTGGAACTTTTTCTCGTGCCAATCCGAAACCGACGACTTTGAAAGCAGGCTGCACAACCACGAAGAGCAAGCCTGTCAACAGAATTCTTTTGTGGTTTCTGATTCAGTTTCCAGCCTTGATTTCGTGCGTGGCCCACCACTGCCCGTGGCCCGTGGACACTGCCGTGGCGGTGCCTCCCGAACCTGCTCCTCCCTGTGAATGAAGCCTGCAAGAGCTGGGTCCAGGCCAGAATTCCAGTTCGGGGCACACTCCTAGGATTCGAGCAAGAGATGGGAGTCGGTCGCTGACACTTAGGGAGAACAAGGTCCATCCAGGTGCTGCAGACACCCTCCAAAAAGAGATGAGGAACCCGGAGTTCTGAGCTGCGGGGGGGGGGGGCCGAGAATTCTCACAGATAGCTAAGAGGAAGAGGAGGGCCATGCAGCCCTAAACCTAAACCGAAGCTGTACCCATCCAAGCACCATCGATACTTTCGGGGTCACCTGCTCCCTACAGCCTTCGGTGCTTCTTCCTTCCCCGGCTTTAACAGGTCTGTCTGGCTTCCTGCATTCTGTGGAAGCGGGGTTGGAGACTGAAGGGCATGGTCCCAGGCCTGGGTTAGAGAGGGTCACTCCTTATTACAGCATCTTCTTCCTCCCATCGGTCCTTCGCCCCTAGCCTTTTCTATTGCTCATCTCCCTTGGTTGCAGAGCCCGAGTCTCTCCTTAGGTTGTGTAGCGTTTCCAGAGGGTACCCAATACTCCCAAACCCCTCCTCCAAGGCTTCAACTCCACCCTGCCTCCCATCTCTCAAAACCTTCTCTCGGTCAAAAACAACCCTCTGGATGTCTAGCTGCCAAGGCTGACTGGCAAGAAATTCCACCTGGGATTAGAAGTGAGGAATCCGCGTTAGCAGCAGACAAGCTCTATCTAGTAAAGGAGCTTCAGGCATGAATGTAAGAACGAAACGCCTTGAAAGAAATGGTCTCCTGTTCTCTTCCCCATCCACTTTAGGCTGGCCCAGTGCATTAGTTCCTGCATTTCAGAGGTTGTGAGGGTACCGGGAGCCTGGAGGTCTGGTCAAGAGGGCGGAGGCTAAAACCTTGGTCTCTCTAAGCAGCTACGAAAGTACCCTGCCGCGACGTAGCGGTCCGAGCCAAGGGAAGGCTCAGCGTGTAGCGGCAGCCAACGCCTCCCACACCCTGCTGACCATGCACAGGCTGTCCTTGAGGCAAGAATTCGAGGGAGAGAAGGGGGGGGGGGGTGTCTCTAGAGGGTTGGAGGAGCGAGGCCCCAGGAGGTGGTTTGGAAATCTCTTACCTAGGAGGGGACTAGGGATGCCCTTGAACTGGAACCCTCCCGCTTCCCCCCCCCCCCCCCCCCTAGGCTCGGGGACCAGGCTTGGATCGGCGTTTGCACCTCAAGCATAGTTTTTATTTAGGTTGCTCCTGTGTGAGGGCTGGTTCAGGGAGGACTGATGGTGACTTTGGAGAACTTCGCCTCCCAAATCACCCCTGGCGCTATGCCCCCAGCCGCTGAGCACCAGCGCTTGATCCCGAGGGCTGGCGGGGCTGCGACTCGGACAAGTCACGCAGAGTTGGGGCGGGGCTTGGGCGAAGGGGCCGGGCCTCTCCGACTCGCAGGCGGAGCTTCTGCTAAAGGCGCGGAGCACAAGGCGCCGAGGGCGCAGAGTAAGAGCAGCACCACCCGGTAGAAGTCGGGGCTGAAGACTGCGTGTTCCTAGCCCACCCTCAGCTCCCACTCGGTGCGGCATCCCAACCCCTGCCGGCCGTCGCCCGGCACGACCCGCGGCCATGCAGCCCCGGGCTTAAGGCGGCCCCATGGCAAAACCTGCGATCCCAGCAACGACGGCGCATGGAGAACTTCCGTAAGGTGCGCTCGGAGGAGGCGCCGGCGGGGGACGGTGATGAGGGTGGCAGCCTAAGCTCTGGCCCTTTCGCAGATCTCGCGCCCGGTGCTGTACACATGCGGGTCAAAGAGGGCAGCAAGATCCGCAACCTGCTGGCCTTCGCCACCGCCAGCATGGCGCAGCCAGCCACGCGCGCCATCGTCTTCAGCGGCTGCGGCCGGGCCACCACCAAAACCGTCACGTGCGCCGAGATCCTCAAGCGCCGCCTGGCGGGCTTACACCAGGTCACGCGGCTGCGCTACCGGAGCGTGCGCGAGGTGTGGCAGAGCCTCCCGCCTGGGCCCACGCGGGGTCAGACGCCTGAGGATCCGGCCGCCAGTCTCAGTGTACTTAAGAATGTACCGAGCCTGGCCATCTTACTTTCAAAGGACGCACTGGATCCACTACAACTTGGCTACCAGCCTCCGAACCTCAATCCTGGTCCTTCATCCCCTCCTACCGTGTCGACGTCCAAGAGGAGCCTGGGGGAATCTGCTGCTGGAGAAAGCACAGCTAAGCGATCTCAGCCTGAGCCAGGGGCTGAGAATGAGGACCCGACTGCCTGAGAACTCCCGGCTCTGAGCCCCCTAGACCGGCTGGATCTTACATCCTCAACACTCCTACATCCACGCGCACCTTTCATACCTGGGTTTCAAGGGGCCCATGTTCCTGGAAGATTGACAGCACAGATCCCAAGGCGACTTGAAAGGGAGCTCAGGAATGACAAGAGGATCCCCTGAAGTCCAAGGAAACTTTGTGGGACGTGTTGCCAGAAGCCACAGAACTCCGCCTCCACCTTTTGTAGGCCATACTGGGATTTTTTTTTTTTTTTTTTAGAGAAGCATGGCGGATAGTGAGACTCTTGAGACTTCTTGGGGACCCAGACTTTAAAAGCGCCCAGTAATGCATGAAGAATGACCGTTGAGGATCTTGAAATCATCCTTGCTGATGACTGAGGGCAGGGAGCTGTGAAGCAGATTCCTTGAGGGTGGCCAAGTTGAAACTGTCGGGACCCTATTCTGCCCACCCACCCCCTGGCAATTCTCCTCTTTAGCTCTTCCTCCTCTTAGCATCCCCCCTTTTGCATGGTGGCGGAGAGGGGACCCAGGACAAAACTTCCCATGCCTCCTCCCCTGAGTCCCACTGCTGGAGTCCGGCTTCCAATAAAACCAACGTGAAAATGGCCCCGTCCCCAGTATTATTTTTTTTTTCTTTACCCACCCGCCTGTGCAGAGACCACTTTGGCATGCCTGCCTTCAGCCTTATTAGCCTTTGGAGTCTTCAAGGTCAGACACAGACAGGGCAGCGTCAAAATGTGGCAAGAGGGACCTGCGGTGGCGCTGGTGGGGGTCTGTGTCCCTGTTGCATCCCCACAAAGGGAAAGGAAGCGGCGCTGCTGCTTTTCTGGGAGGGGAAGGAGGGGGAGAGAGCATTGATGAGCTGGAGGAGGCAGCCTGCCAAGGCTGGCAGACCATGCTAAGGTTCTAACCTTGCACCCTCCTTCCGGTAGACTTCCTTACCCAGAAGGCGGGCACAAAGCCCCATGAGTAGGTGCTCCCCTTCACTGCCCTCTCCCTGCAAAAGGACAGCACACCCTTGGGAGAGGGGGAGGAGAGAGGCAGCACAAATCCACTGCTGGAAATTACTATTCAGCAGAGAAGCCTGGGCTGTGAATCACTGCACGCTCCCTGATAAGCGGCTGCCTCCAGCCCTGCACAGCTGTGTGTTGAGAGATAACGGCCTCAGATGCCTCTCTGCCCAAGTCCAAGCGGGTGGGGGTGGGAGTGGGAGGATGCTGTGTGCTGGAAGTCGGGGAGCTGTGCAGCATGCAGCTCCGGCTCTTCGGAGCAGATGCCACCCCATGGAACTCAGCCCCGCTGGAAAGGAGATGGGAAAGAATACATTTGTAAGTCACTTTGCTTGCAGAACCTTGAAATAAATCCTACTGGTGAGGAGGTTGGCTTCTGCTGCTGATGGAGGGGCTCCTCCGGGAGGCCTCTGCTCTCCTTTCGATATCTCTGCTGGTGCTTTGGATCACCAAGTCCTGTCATCCAGGCTGTCAATCATTGCCCTCCACCCTCACCCTGACTTATTCATTCTTTAGAGAATGCCTTGCTATGTAGTACAGGCTGGCCAGGAACCGATCCTCCTGCCCCAGCCTCTCAAGTGCTAGGATTACAGGTGTGCATCTTGTCCCGCTCAATTTCTTGCTCTTGAGGAATCTCCAGGAAGAGCGGAGGGATTTAGATGTGTTTGTTGGCCCCTCTCGGAGATGGAGCAAGAGACATGGAAAGAATGAAAACTGGGCTGGGGATATAACTCAGTTGGTAGAGTATTTGCCTAGGGTGTATAAAGTCTCATTTTCGGCTCTCAGCACCACATAAACTTGCCATGGTGGCAAATGCCTGTTAATACCAGAACTCTAGAGGTAGAGGCAGGAGTATCAAAAGTTCAAGATCGGCTGGGCGGTGGTGGTGCACGCCTTTAGTCCCAGCTCAGGAGGCAGAGGCAGGCGGTTCTCTAAGAGTTCAAGGCCAGCCTGGGCTACAGAGTGAGTTCCGGGAAAGGCACCAAAACTACACAGAGAAACCCTGTCTCGAAAAACCAAAAAAAAAAAGTTCAAGATCATCCTTGGCTACACATAGTGTTTGAGGCAGGCCTGGACAAAGTATCTCAGAAAACAATAAATTATCCAGGAAGCAGAGGTACCTTGGACTACTAGGCTTCCAAAGCTGAAGAAAAAGATAAGATTTAGAAGTCTATGAGAGACTTGTCTAGATGACTACCCTGATTCCAGGACTACACAAGAAGAACCTGCGAGGCTTGTCAGGAAGGTAAGCCTATGGTGGGTCTTTGGATGGGATAGCTGAGTCTCCTCCTTCCAGCCTAGAATCACATCCTGGGATGGGGAAGAAGGATGCGCTTCCTCTTTCTTCAAAGTTAACCTACTCCCTCAAGAGAAAGCAAAGCATGGACATCTTTCTTTTCTGCATCCCCATCCAAGCCCGGCATGTTTGATGTCCAAGCTTTTCATGGATTGCTAACTCATCAGTGGACCCACATCCATGAGCACCCCACCTCTGCCTTACTGATCCTCTGGCCCTGCTATCCCTTGGGCAGTTTCCAAAGGAAGGGCACATGTCTCTGTACCTCCTCCCTCCCCATCACAGAGGCTGAAGTGGGAGCTTGAGAAGTCTTGGCTTAAGGAGAGGGCATAGATGGAATACCTCAAGGGTTAGTGTGTCCACTTCAGGAAGGGACTGGCTATGAAGTGAGAGAGAGGGAAAGTCTCTCTCGTGAGACCTCCATCTTTCCAGTATTGGCCTGTTTTGTAAACTTGTCCTGGTAGATGGGAACAAGCATCTTGTCTTAGGGTTTTTTATTGCAGTGAAAAGACACCATGACCATGGCAACTTTTCTTGTTTGTTTGTTTTTTGAGACAGGGTTTCTCTGTGTAGCTTTGGAGCCTGTCCTGGAACTCGCTCTATTTAGACCAGGCTGGCCTTGAACTCACAGAGATTCACCTGCCTCTGCCTCCCCGGTGCTGGAATTAAAGGCATGTGCCAGCACCACCCAGCTTCCATGGCAACTTTAATAAAGATAACATTTAATTAGGGTGGCTCAGAGGTTCAGTCCATTATCATCATGATGGGGAGCATGGCAATGTACAGGCTGATGTCCTGGAGCGAAGAGCGCTACATCTTGCGGGCAACAGGAAGTCAACTGACTGTCACATTGAGAGAAGCTTGAACAAAAGAGACCTCAAAGCCCACCCCCACAGTGACACACTCCCTCCAACAAGGCCAGACCTCCCAATAGTGCCACTCCCTTTGGGGGCCTTTTTTTTTTTTTTTCCAAACCACCACACATCTACTTACCCATGTCTAGCTTGGAGAACCAATTAGTCTGTTGGGTTTACTTACAGAACATGGGTGGAGGGTTGTTTACAGGAATGTGGGTGAGCCCAAGCAGCCACACCACTTAAGACTCACCCCAGCATGAATGACAACTTCTCCACAGGGGTCCCCCTCCAGTTAACCCTATCCATTCTATACACTGAAGCACCTGCTGAGACCATGAGACCACATGCAACTGGGAGCAGAACTGCATGCCCTGGAAAAGAGATGCAGGAGGGAAGGCATGGCATCCCAAGGGAAGGATCTGGTAACGATTCCCAACACTCCCTCAATGAGGGGGTGTCAACAAGCACAGTCTGAAGGCTCACTACTATCTGCTTCTGATGATGGTGGTAAGGTAGTCATGCCTGGAGGACAGGGTTTTCCCCAGCTGGGTGCTTGCCTCCATTCCTGTGACAGGCAGGTCACAAAAGCAAAATCCATCTGGGAACCTCAAAGTCTGTAATACGTGGTCAGATGTGCGGTGGACTTCACTCAACTCACTTTTGTTGTTTTGCTGTGTCCACTTCCAGTCTAGGCACAAGGTGTGGCTAGCAGCTAGAATCACAGAATAATCTGACATTGCTTCATCTCCCCCAGCCCCCCAAGAAACCCCAAACACAGCAAGAACAACAAACCAATCTACTGCAGTGAAAGAAAAGTAACTTATGGCCAGTCTTGTTTATGCATGCCTGTAAGGCCTGCTCTCGGGAGACAGAGGAAGGGGTTTGGGGACTTCAAGGCTAACTTAAGCTCACAGTGAATATGAAGTCAACCTGGGCGATATGGTACGACCTTGACTCAGAAAAAAGGAGGAGGGTAAAGAAAAATATAATATGTATATGTACAAGCCGGTAACAACAAAACCTACTATGCTGGCCAGGTGGTAGTGGCACATGCCTTGAAATTCAGCACTTGGGAGGCAGAGGCAGATGGATCTCTGTGAGTTCGAGGACAGCCTCATCTACAAAGTAAGTTCCAGGACAACCAGAGCTGTTACACAGAGAAACCCTGTCTTGAAGGGGAAAAAAACAACAACGAAACAAACAAAAACAAGCAAATCTGTGTTGTAGACTAGCAAAAAAAAAAAATTAAGATATTTTTGAAAATAAAAAAGTGAGTTATAATGGGAATTCTGGGAAGGGGTATTTCAATCTCCTGGAGGTGTTAGTGGAGTTGGCTGTGCAAGGGTCAGGAGGAAGTCAGATGGAATAGCAAGTTAAGCAGAGCACAGATAGGTATGACTGGCAGGGTGTAGAAAAGTAGGTGGGCCTGGAGTAGTAGCTGGCAGTGGAGTCCCAGGGAAGTTGAGATGGGGACAGAGGCAGGACACTAGAGGCCAGGGACTTCCCCAGACCCTTCTCAGTCTGACTAGTATTTGGAAATATCCCTCTGCTATTTGTTAGGTAGGAAGTGGGTTAAAAAGAGCAATCACAGCTTGAAAGCTTCAGGGAGGTAGGAGCTGAGGCTCTGGTCACGGGAATGGAGACAGGGTATATCTTAGAACTATCAAGCTAAGCAGTCACTATCATTCCAGCCAGGAAAAGGAAGGCCTTCTGAACATTTGTCCTGGCCTGGCCAGGTCCTGGTATGCCTTTCTGGGATTCCAGGGGTGACACCTTTCAAGGACCAAATAGTGAAGGGGTAAGGGGTGTGGTTGCATAAGCTGAAAGGAGCTGCCACACATGGGCATACTTGCCAATCTGCCAAGGTGTATTCACTGTCTAGCTAGAGATGTGCCAGACACACTCACCTTCAACCTTTGCCCATTTCCTAACCTTATCACTTGGTCCAGTTTTTGTCATTGTTCTAACCAACAGGGAAAATCTAATCTCCTTATTCCACCTAGATGTTAGAACACATGCAGTTATCAGAGAGGGCTAATTGAAGAAAGTGAGGCTAGGAGGCAGAGCTCCAGGGGTTGGGGGTGTCAGTGGTTCAATGTGCTCACTGCTCTAGCAGAGGACCCACAAGACAGATGATAAAGGTCTGTCACTCCAGCTCCAGGGGATCTGATGCCCTCTGCTGGACCCTACAGACAACTGCATCCACATACATGTAGCCCCCTCCGCCATCACCACATGCATATCATTTAAAAGTTTTCTTTAAACTGGGCAATGCTGGTGCATGTCTTTAATCCCAGCACTTAGGAGGCAGAGGCAGTCAGATCTATGTGAGTTAGATGTCAACAAAAAAGTTTTCTTTAAAAAAAAAAAATAGAGCTGAGGGCTGGAAAGATGGCTCAGAGGTTAAGAGCACTGGCTGCTCTTCCAGAGGTCCTGAGTTCA